AAGGCTTCCTCCCATTTCATTAACTATCAAACCAAATCATTTTAACCTAGCGCTTACCACGTGTTTACACTCACACAAGCACATTCAGAATGAATCTACGCCATGCAGTTTCTCTCTCCCTACCCATCAACCAACCCTGTAACTAAAAACTCCCTAGCGCTATGTGCTGCCATCTAACTCAATAATCATCCAAACTAACCCCTAAGCGCTACGTGCATATTTGGTTGCCTATGTTTAACGACTTCCTTTTTGTGGTTGAATTTTTTTTTCTTTCAAATTCAGATTATTCAAGTGTGATTTCGCGCCGCTGTTAATATTAATTTCAGCGCGAAAACTTTGATTTAAATTCGGTCACCACAGTATGTTCATCTTTATGCCACTTTTCTTTTTTTTTTTTTGTTATTCTGTATTATCAAAGCAGTCTGTATTGCCAAATTGATAAAGATTTACAAATGAGATAAAAATAAAAACAACTTTTGATTGCTTTATATTATCAAAAATGGAAATGAACCGCAATAGTAAATTTTCATAGAAGCGATTTCTTAACAATGAATCATCGAGTAAACATCCTGGACGGAAAAAAATTGTCTATTTTTCAAGTGTTTCGAGAATCGTTTGGTTCAATCATTGAGGTAGAATGACAGGAGAGAGCATACCCGATTTAACCAGAGATTTAACCAACGTTACATAAACGCCAGCAAAAACCATTTATGACCCTTTCCTTCTGTGCCCTTTCCGTACCACAACGGGTGTAGTCGGACAACAACACAGGGTCAAAGGCGGTGCCGTTTGGTTTAAAATGGGTTCATAGGGACTAAACAAATCTTAAGATTTGCTTAATTATTATCGTATAAAAACATACAGCATGTTATTAAAAGGTACGTACAAAATAAAATCGAAGTATGGGTGCTAAAAGTAAAAAAAAGTTCAGGTAAAAGTGTTATCCTTTTAGAGATAAAAATTATTAGAATTTATGTTCAAATTTTTCGTTTCTATAGCAACATTTAGTCTTGATCTTGACAAAAGTTTTATTGTTACAGTTGCTAGGATTTACTAAAATAAATTAATTTTACCTACATATCTTTCAGTAGCGTCTAAAAATGTTGAATCAGGGTTAATTTTCCCCTTAGAATTTTGATAACACAAAATAAGTTTTTCAGACTTCTTTGACTTCGCGAAGAACTGTCAATTTTGTTATACGTACCTTTCAATAACACCCTGTATATATTTCTACCAGCATAAAAACTCAGGTTAATTTTACAGCTGCTGCTTTTACATTCTATCTAATTAAATTATTTTTGTTTTATGCCCAATACCCTCCAAACGCGCCCGTGGCAAAACCTGGTTTCAAACAACCACCATTGCAGCAACACCTAGTGTATATTAAGTTGCATAAGTTTAGGAGGAAATATAAATATTTTGTAATTATTATCGAATGTGGATGCTACATATTATACTAAAAATAATGTTTGATCTAAAAAAAATATACAGGGTGTTATGCAAACTTTTATATAATGACACTTTGTCCAAAGCCCTATTGTTCAAGAATTAAAATTGAAAATACATGGACTATGAAAATCGCGACGTACAATGACAATCATTTGAGAAAGTCTGAGACAGTAACATTTTCATAGTGGATTATTTGAAATTTATTTTTCCGAGGTTTTAGTCCATCGTAAAAAAAAGACAAAAAATACTAATCTGATTTCTTTTTGATCGTTGTACCAACGATTATAGTTACTTTCAACTCAAACTTTCAGATTAACTGTAATTTAACAAGACAAACATTTTATCAAAAACAAATTTTCAGAAGCTGTTTTTTTGATCGTAGGTATTTTCATTGCTCACTTATCAGTAGTGTACACGGTCATTCTCGAGCAGGCCCACACCTTAAAAATTCAAGATGCAACCAAAATAGTTATTTAATCAACTAGTTGGGTAATGACAGCGATTAACGATCGAGCAATTTTAATTACACGAGCGACCAAAGGGAGCGAGTGGACTTAAAAATAGGCGACATCGTTAATCGCCTCCACCCCACGTGTTGATTACAATATTTTTTAGACGGTCGTAATTTTCGAAAACAGCAATTTGAATAATATTTTTAACATTTGTTATGCAACCAAATATACTTGAAATGTCTAAGTTTGCTTTGACATTTTATCACAGTATAGACATCAATCAGTAGGGACAACTCGTGTCGGCGCCTTTGATCTTTCTGACCCGAATTTTAAGCCATCATCGGTGGTCGTTGCCCAAAATATTTCTAGATGTCACCATCCAATTTAAAAAGTATCACAAACGCTTCATTTGAAAATTTTAAAATTGATTCGTGTACACAATTTACTACACTTTGTGCAAATGAATTTTTGGAAACGAATTAAAAATGATCTAAGGTAATAACAACAACATTTTGTAACTAGTTGATCTTAGAAATCATACAGTCTATTGTAATAAATAATGAATTAAGCGCTCTATCCTATAACACAGATGCCGTGTTGAAATTCAGATTTGGCCCCGCTTCTCTGATTACGATTTTACGTTTCATTAATTTCTTTTCCATGATGGTTGTAAATGGTTGTAAAATTCAACGTTATTAGAAAACACTAATATATGTACATTTAATTTTTTTACAAAAAAATTAAACAGTAAACAATGGTCCCATCAAAACTTAAACAATGCTTTTTAAAATGTCTCTGTGAAAATTACACTTAACTGCAATAGTTAGAGCGGCCAGCAAAAGGAAAGATGACAGCACGTGACCAGCGCAGATCGCACAATTTCGATTGGTCGAGTCCATTGTGAGCTGAAGAGAGATACATTTAATACACAGCGGCTCGCGTCTACTCGTTGTTGATTAGGTTTTTTCTTACGAGAGGTTGGTGTGTCTTCTCGAGTTGCTTTGTGTTTTCCAGTGTATTTCTTTTATAATAACTAAAACAGTCTTTTTAAAGACAAATTTAATTAATCAAATAAAAAATAATTAATAAAAAAGTTAAGAAATGTTGTATGGTACGACACTGGTGACTTGAAACCGCGCAGCCTAAGCTCCGCCCATGTCATCTTCTATTCTGCCGGCCGCTCTACACCGGAAGATTAGCCTTAAACCACTTAAAACATCAAAACCAATGCAACTAAACTGCCAAATTTCAAATATTTCACATTAAAGTCACTAGATAATCAAAGTACCGCAGTTCAATGTCACAATGTGTAAGAAAGAGAAGTACCTTGCGTTGCGCGCCCTCATACGGTCACAAGACAAACGACCACCCATGAAAACGAGTCAGTAAAAATAGCGAGTTGTCCCTACTGAATGATATCTATACTGTGATTTTATTAAATTGATATGCAACCAACAATACTCTAACATTTCTGTCGAATTTATTTTATTTAAATTTGTTTTACAATACATTTTTGATTAAAAAAAAAAACATCCTGTTGATGCAATTTTAAAACATCGTGTTAATTTTAAAAATCTTTGAAACTGAAATAACAAACTTTAGTAGATTGGTATGCAACCCAACAATACATTGGCATTTCTGTAAACTTTAGTTTAACTGGTTTAATCGTTGAATAATGAGACTCATTAATTCATTATTGATCAATTTTGAACACCAAATTTGTTCGTAATTTTCACATTAATAAACGATAGTCAAAAAATACAATTTAAGCACCATAAAATTTGTATTTTATACCATTAAAAATTAGCTTACTCTCAGGAAGTAAAAAAAATAAAACATAGTTATCTCAACTTGTCTGTTTTGTACACGGTTGTAGAATAGATAGGTTGATACACTAGCATACATTTGCATATCCCTGGTCAGCGACGCCAATTGCCGATCGCGTCGCCTGGTTTTTGACGTTTTAGGGACACAGAACTCTATAGGCATCTGTCTATAACCGATGTAATTAATAAAAGAAATCGTATTTATCGACTCCGATCAAATGTCATTTACAAATTTTGTATTGTTCATAAAGCAATGTAAACCAAAATCCCTAAAATGACTAGAACGATTTCCGCTCGACAAGGTAGAGGCGCTAGCTGTCTGTGTCCTTTCCATGGATATAGGGATCGAAAAAAAGCGTCGCCATCCCAAGCCATTAGTGTACAAACCTATCTATTCTACAACCGTGGTTTTGTAACAACACTGACGGAACGTCGGATACTGTCATCATAATCATATTAAAATTGACATTTCGACAGAATTGAAAACATTATTATCCATCCTGACGAGCTCTTGTATTGAATTTATTTATTTTTGCGTTTAATCTAAATAAATTGAATAACAGAAAAATCAATTGGCGGTCAAAGTTTGGCTGTTTAAAGGCCGCCTTTGGTCATAGTGAATTAGAAAAACAAACTTTTTCCAAATCAAACACTGTTTAAATTGAATACAGGGTTTTTCACGCAGAATGGCCGATTTAATAATGTATTTATGCAACTCAAAATGCATTCTCACAGGATACGTCACAAGTTTTTCATTTGAATAATTTTTTAAAATCATAGTTATCCATGGAGGTAACTAGAAACATCCAATCAAATAAGGTTTGCTTCAATTGTAAGATAATTGTTAATATCTCCGTCAGTATCATGAGTATAATGTATGTATAATCTAATAGAAAGGATGTGGTGAAGAATATTTATCATAAGATGTGTTTGAAAATATGTTTAATGAAATATTAATCTTACATCTGACATGTTCTCGTTTTGAAATAGACGACACCTTTTGTTGATGAAAATAATAATTTCTTAACAATAAAAGTTACCTTTCGAAAGAACTACAAACAGAGAAACGGAATTTATTACAGCGACAGAACTGACACATTTCAAGATGACGTAAGTTAAAAATACACATTATTCCACATATAATAAAATAAAAACAAACACATCCACTCGTAGATTTATCAAATTCAATTTAAATCGGTTAGGGATATTCAGGAATCACTAAATTTCTTCGCGCTTTGCGCTTGACCCTTATTTCTATTATATTGGCATTACTTTGATTTTGTTTTTGTGCCGTATTTGACAGATTTACTTTATTTTACGAAAAACTACAATCTGTATTTAATTTCTAGTTAAAAAGAAGAGTTTCTTAGGTAAGTTTTCAAACGAATGTGGATAAAATTTTTGTGTTCTGAAATCGACTTCAGTAAGTTGGTCTGTCAATGTAATTAAGGAACTACGTCTCTGCCATATATTTTTAGAATAAATATGGATGAAAATGAAACAAATCATGACAACAGAAGTGAAGATGCGTCAAAAACTGAGGAAAAATCGGAAGAAAACGCCAAAAGATTTAAAGCCAGCGACTCTGGTTTAGGTAGGTCAGAAGAGTCATCGAGTTCGTCAAGCAATACTGACCAAGAGAATGCCAGCACCAGCACTGACATAAAAAATGGTGTTGGTGATTCAGAAGCGGTAGCTCCCTCCGTTACATTTCGCTTGTCCAATTCTAAGAATCGGAATTACCGGAATAATCACGCAAGTGACAGGTGAGGAAGAAATGTCATTTTAAGTATGGTAAGCTAATTTTGTGCAACAGTGGAGATCGTGATGATCCAATGGGTGATGATGAAGAAACCCCAAGAGTAGCAGTAGCAGAACTTCCAATGGAAGAGGGAGACGAGGATGATAATGATTGGGAAGACTATGATGAGGATGATGATGAAGAAGATATTGAAGGAAATACATCCAGCGAAGACACTCATTTATTTTCTGATAGCAGTGATGACTCGACCATAATTCTTGATACTGATGAAACAGATATTTCTGATCATCCTCTATTTAAAAAAGAAAAACCAAAACATTGGTGGTCTGCCATTAACGAAATTAATAAGAGACAGTTAGGTTATAGTTCTAAATTACAAAGTCGTGAACTTTTTCAAAGAAGATGTTACGGATCTTTGCATTGTGTAAAACGTTTAGAATTAATGTATAAATTGGAGGAGCACGCGGGTTGTGTAAATAGCTTAAATTTTCACCCAGATGGTTCCTTGTTAGCTAGTGGAGCTGATGATTTAAAAGTTGTTATTTGGGATTGGAAAGTAGGTAAAACCCTGATGAAATACAAAACGAAACATAGGGGTAATGTCTTTCAAAGCAAATTTTTGCCCTTATCGGGGGACTTACATATTGCATCATGTGCAAGAGATGGACAGGTAACACTAGTTTTCTTAAAATTTTCTATTCTAACACTTTTTGGTGTAATGTAAAGGTCCGCCTTGCTCAGTTATCCAAAGAAGAGGGTGTACGTAATGCAAGATTATTGGGATCTCACAAAGGACCATGTCATAAGTTAATTGTGCTTCCAGAACAACCTCAGGTTATTCTTAGTGCAGGAGAAGATGGCGCTGTTCTCAATCACGATGTCAGAGGCCCAAAGAGCACCAAGTATGTCTTTCAGATATACACTGACAAAATTTAAACAAATTTTTTTAGAATTGTGACAGTTAAGGAGGATACAAAGACAATAGCATTGTACAGTATACATGGCCATCCTTTAAAGTCACATGAATTCTGTGTTAGTGGTAGAGATTCAATTGTTAGAGTTTATGACCAAAGAAAATGTAATAAACCTTCAGCTACCTTCACACCATTTACAAAGGTTGTTAAAAAAGACATTTATGGACATGATTATATTTTCATAATTTTTAGGTAAAAGGTAAAAGCCATGGTAGAAACTATCATGTAACTTGTGCAGTGTACAATCACAATGGCTCTGAAATTTTGGCATCATACAGTGATGCGGATATTTATTTGTTTGATACAAAAGATCCAGAACCAGGTAAATTTATTCATCAATATCAGGGTCACCGAAATGGAGCAACTATAAAAGGTGTCAACTTCTTTGGCCCAAAGTCAGAATTTGTAGTTAGTGGTTCAGATTGTGGACATATATATTTTTGGGAAAGAAATACTGAGGCTCTTGTACAGTGGTTGCTTGCTGATGATAATGGAGTTGTAAGTAATGAGAATATTCATTTACTGTATACTACAACTTTGTTTAGGTCAATTGTCTTGAACCGCATCCTCAGTTACCATTTATTTGCACTAGTGGATTGGATTGGGATGTAAAGGTGTGGGTACCCTCTTGTGAGGAGGAACCTACAATGGAAGGTTTAAAAAACACAGTCAAAAATAACCTGAAAACCAAGTTGAACAATACGGATGCGTCAGACATTAATGAGAGCCAAATGTTGTGGATGTTGTGGAGGCATCTTAGAAACACCAGTAGGCTAAGGGTAAAAGAAAAAGTTTTCAGTAAACGCATATAGACTGGTCATTTTGTAGGCATCAAATTTGCTTAATGTTAGGGACTTCTTCCACACCTATTCGGATTCTAATTCTTCAGGATCGGAAAGCATGAGCAATTCTGACGGCTCAGACGACGACTTGGATAGGGCACCAAATTGTAATACTTCTTAATCAACGAACAAGGAAATGGTTATTTCAGCATTGTTTTCTAGCCTGTTCTCTATTATGTTATAGTTACACCTACATTACTTATTAAAATTACCAACTTTTATTAATCATTTTATGAAATGTATATGTAAAATGTTAACTAAAGTATTAACATTTTCATAAATATGTGATTTAGTTGTATGAATTTATTATTACATTTCAACTAGGAAATAAATTTGTATGATACATGTGATTTAAATTTTTAAAAAATTCCAATCACTTGCGCCAAGCCGGCATAAATAGTTAAAGTAAAAGCCCCTACAATAAGTGTAACAACAGCTTTAACAAAAAGTCCAACCCAGGGGCCAGCCAATAAAAATTTTAACACTAGATCTAAGAGTAAAGGTTTATATGATGAAAATACCAACAGCGCTGTTACCACTGGCTTAAAATTGCTCTTTAAATCATGTCTAGACCACAACCATATCAGTGTTGCTGTTGCAATATGCTGCACCAAGGAAATGTTCGACTCAAGACACTTCTGAATATATTTCCAATCAAATTCGGCACCTCGAGCTCCAACCCAAAGTAACAAAGCTCTAGATAATATAACTTCTGCAGTTGCCCAACCTATTCCTGCTGTCAGGACTTTGCTATGGCCTTTCCCAGGTATTCCCGCCAACACCACATACAACCCAACTAAATCAGCTAAATCTACAGTTGACTTTAAAAATTCCTACAACAAATAAAATGATAAAATACTATGATACGAGACTATTAGTGAACATACTCCTAACACATCACTTCCTAAATCTGAAACGTTGTCGGGAAAGAAAGTGGCTAAAATTAACATTTTTGCTAACTGTGTGAACATGTAAATGCAGCCTGCTTGAATACATTTCCAAAAAGCCCCATACTCTGACCTAAAATCCACAAATTTTATTTTAAAATCACCACACATTCACATGACGACTAACAGTCCCGAATATTTATATGTAAGGTAGTATGGAACGTAAATCAACGCCACACAATTTCCAAAATGGTACAAAGTCATTGTTAATACAAGAAGAAATTCGATAAATTAATTTGTTCTACAATAGAAATTAATTTTTTCAATACTTTTAGGTTAGAAATGCTATTACATGTCACTTGTCAAAGTAATGCAGTGAAGTTCGTCCATTTCTTTTCTCGAATGCAGTGAAGTTAGGTTTTTGACAATTCAACCGCAAGTTTTGACGATAAACGTGAAATATACGTTTACAATATTTATTATTTTATCAAGATATATTTTATAATTTGTGCACTTTAACTAAAAACCATCATGAATACCAATAAATTTCGTCAAATGGAAGACGAAATGAATCGGTAAGAGACTAATAAACATTATTTTAAAACCTAACCTAACCCGTTGTTTATTTCAGGTTTGAGGCCGAAATCTCGGGTCAAACGTTAATGAATGCAGCTTATTCCAATACTTTCGGACTACCGGGATTTGGAAATATACCCCCGCCGCCTGCACCACCTCTCCTTATTCCTCATCAAGTGAAGCAAGTTAAAAAGTCGACGTCGCATAATGCTTATGATATGTATTCCCAACCAGCAGTAGCTCAACAGGCTGTAGTTTCTGCAAAACCTACTCTTTATACAGCAGCAACTAAAGCTGCACAACAGTCTGCCCTAGCTAATTCAACAAGTTCTTCATCAACAACGACAAATCAGTCATCAGTTGATTTTATTGCTTTACAGTCAGAGGTAGAAAAGAAGTTAAAAAAATTGAAAAATGAGAAAGTGAGTGCGGAATTAGCTATATCACAAGGTATATTCATAAAGTATGTGTAGTTCTTTGTTTTTAATAATTAATGATTGCAGGAAAAGCAAGTAGTGCATTACAATCATTTGGACCAGACGACTATAAACGAAGGGGCAGTAAAAATAGGAAGTTGATGCGTACTGCTGGCGGGCAAGTGTGGGAAGATCTGTCATTAACTGATTGGCCTGATGATGACTTTAGGATATTTTGTGGTGATCTAGGAAATGATGTCACTGATGAACTGCTTACTAGAACTTTTAATAAGTATCCTTCATTTAATCGTGCTAAAGTTATAAGAGATAAACGTACAAACAAAAGTAAAGGATATGGTTTTATTAGTTTCAAGGACCCAGCAGATTTTACAAAGGCCATGAAGGAAATGAATGGTAAGTGTTAGTGACTATTAATTATTAACTTCATTTAGGCGTCCTTTGTAGTTGGTATAGTAAATATAATGTAAATTAATGCTGATTTCATAGTATCTCATTAAATATGTGTTGTTTCCTTAATTTATGCTATGTTTGGTAAATTCAATTCACATACATGTTCATTTGGTATAATCTGTATGTTTAACCACCTACATTTAGAGCTGCAACAGGTGAATACTCAAAGGGAAAAGCTCAAAGATAAACAGGAATTAACTATTTACATAAACTGAAGCTTCAAACAGAATGATTTAACGCTCCACAACACACTAAAGTGATTCATATTAACTAATTGATTTCAAATTACTTCTAAACTTGCTACCTATATAGAAATGATTAAGTGGTAATAGCTAATCTACAAAATAGAGTCAGTTTAAAGGTACACTTGAGGTTTCGTTGAAAACGAAAATTTTTTTGGTGTTTTTTGAAAATTACAATTTTTCAGCAATGTTTGAAACAGATATAAATGCAGCAGTGATTACATGACAACATAGTATTGAGAATATTGTAAAATTGATATTTATAACATTTAGTTTCCACACTTCTCAAGAGATGGCTGCTTTTTTTTTCATTAAATTGTTTTCTTAAATATTTGGAAAGAAACTTTAATTGAAAATGAATTTCTATCTATACAAGTGACATTTTTATGTTTTTTGAGATATTTCGCGTGTAATATCAACTACTAAAAATTGATTTTAATTTTTTAGAATGGTTTTGAAGAAAACCGTTTTACAAATGATAGTTAAAGGTGTAGAAAACAATTTTTATTACACTGCAATGAGTATTTAAATCTGATACAAGGCTAAATTTTAAGGTTTATATCATGTAGAAAAACCAGCTGGTTTGAATATTCTTGTTATTGTTACAAGTAAGGGTGTGGGGACAAAAAATCTGCACAAATTTTAATTCACCGAAAATCGAGTTAGCTTTGAGAAAAATGACGGTTGACGTTATAACATTTTTTTACAGTTGTTAAAAATTGTTATGCCTAGTTCCTCTTGAAAGTTTCAATATTTTTTGTAATAATGGAACACTTAAATGAAAATGATCGCCGATCTGTGATTGCCGAATTTTATAGAAGGCATATGCATTTAAAAAAGTCATTCACCCTTAATCACTTCTTCCAAATGGGGATATCAAAAAGGACAACTTATAGTATTTGCAGAAGAGTAGAGAATGGGAATTCGGTAGAACGACAAGTAGGAAGCGGAAGACCAGCAAGAAAAATGTCCCAGAAGAAGAGAGAAGTCTTAGTCAATCAAAGTCACGGTAAACTTGGTGTTTCACTAAGAAAGATTGGACGGAAATTTAAAATTGACAAAAAGTATGTTAGCAACATATTAAAGGAGAATAATGTCAAACTTGCAACACGAAAATCCGCCCCCAAATATTCAGAAAAACAAAAGTTGGAACAGAAACGAAAATTAAGGCATCTTTCTGAATCCGCTTTTTCCCCCTCAAATGGAACTGAAATAATCATCGATGACGAATCCTACTTCACTTTTGATGGTAGCGATACTGCTAACAATAAACATTTCTATTGCAAGGAAGGAGAAGAAGTAGATGATAAAGTGAAATTCAAAGGTCATAAAAAATTTCAGTCCAAGTTGTTGGTCTGGTTGGCCATTTCTTCACGTGGACATTCTACTGCGTTTATTTGCCCACCTGGAAATTCTGTTAATGCAGATATTTATGAAAAACAGTGCATTAGGTCTCGACTTGTCCGCTTTATAAGAGAAAAGCATTCGGATGGCAATTTTGTATTTTGGCCAGACATGGCAACAGCTCATTACGCAGCTAACGTTATTGCTGCATATAATGAGTTAAACATTCCTTTTATCCCTAAGGACAAAAATGTTCCCAACGTACCTCAACTACGCCCAATTGAACGTTTTTGGAGAAACCTAAAGAGGAATGTGTACGAAAATGGATGGGAAGCCTCGACACATGCAGAATTAAAGAAGCGTATACTGCTGAAAATACGGCAAACAAAAATAACGGCTTTTACAAATTTAATGCGCCGTGTTAAAACAAAAATTCGTAAAGCAAGTAGATATGGTACAGAATGTGTTCTTTAAAGTTGTTTTTATAAATGTTGTTGATCACGTTATTAATACCTGCTTTTATAATACAGTTATTCTAGTTTGAAATTTGTGCAGATTTTTTGTCCCCACACCCTTAATTAAATATTAAGAAAATTCGACACGATTTTGTTTAATGTGCCTTTAAATTATAAAAGTTTAGGCCAGTGCTCCGGATTTTTTTTTTTTTTTATACTTTATCTTCTTTTAATGTCTGGAGTAAATGATATTCCTTTTTTAATAACGATTATATGTTACATCATTCTTATAGAAGGTCACTATAGTTCAGTGATATAATTTTTTATTAAAGTGTTCAATTATTATTGTAGACAAATTTAGTAATACAGTTATTTAAAAACAAAATTTTGTAGATAATGGTTTAATTAAAATGTTATAAATTGATAGCTAAATGTGCATAATATCGACGTTCCAGGTATACATATATTACCAAGTTTATTTTGTCGTGCGCTGAAACAACGAAATATTTTATTACATTTTTTCGTTATATGTTGCTGGAGTCAATTATACTGTTTGTAACTTGAGTGAATATTCTCAGTTGACAAGCTTTTTCAGCGTCTAGAAATTCCATTTTTAAAGGTAATTTCTGTTACTGACGGTGCTGAATTTACTTCTGAAAATTTTACTAATAATGTTCATTTTGTTACGGAAACGAAGATATTAGTTTTTCTTTTTTTTTGTATTTGTATGCAAGTGAAATTTCAAGAGTCACTTACTTAAATCGCCAAGGATTAAATATAGTATCTAACTATGCCATCAAATCACTTGCATGATGGGTAAATACGTTGATTGGCTACACTAAATATATTTTAACTGTAAGAACAACTTTGTGGGGTATTTTTTATTCCTTTTTCTGATAGCATGGGAATTCCTGCAATAAGTTTTGAAATAGGTAATTAAAACATTCGTAGAAATACTTATATACAGCAAATATTTGTGGGGAATTTCTGCATACATACTGATATTACGAATTAATCTTGTTAATTCTAAGATTTTTAGATTTGCATTATCACTTTATTATTATTTGTTTCTGTGCGAAGTATCGTTTGCTATGTTTGAAATATTTTGTGAAATTTAATTTTTTTGTAAACGCTTTCTGCTTTTTACATCGTGTGGTTTTTAATATTTATTTTATTTCATTTTCTAAAATTTTATACGAATTTACTTAAATACATAAAAATTGAATTACTACATAGTGTCTTTCGAAAAAGTCAGTTATGTAATGTTGTAGAATTGTCCAAACTTTGACTTTTTTAGTCCATCTTCATAAAGTTAAAAGTATGGGTGCGTTATTAAACCACAGTTAAAGGAGATGTTCAACTGCACATTTAACGCAAGATGCACTTTTTTAGACGACGTCCTCAGTTTTTTAGTTAATATGGTAATGTTGAGGTACACTTCAAATTTCAGAGTAATCGGTTTTAGAGTTTCGGAGATCAATTCTCGAACAAAATAGCCGGAAACTCCAAGAAAACTCGGAATTAGACTTTGTCAAAGTAATCCGATTACCTATAGCTTCAGAAGTAAAAATTGTATCCTGCGATCCAGCCAAAAAATAACAAGGTATTGACTATAGATTAAAATAGCTTACGTTCATTATGGTGCAGATTGTCATCACCCTGTCAATGACAATTAAAAAAAAAATGGAAAAAATGCAGTGTTTATCCGATAACTAATATACAATGAACCGTGTACACAAAAATATTGAAACCAATAATTATGCCAAGGGAAGATTGAACTAAAAATTAGAAAAAGGCTTCAATTATTATTAAAAAGTTGCGATAAGATCTATAATACATAATTCAAAATGCATATTAAAAAAAAAACTATAATTAAGATCAAATATAATCGTCTTACTTTTGTGAATTCTAAATATAAAATAAAATGTTGAATGTAGAACAGCTAATCATTTAAATTCGCGTTATGACATTCAATAGTAATCGTAAACGCGAATTACACTCGGAGGTGGTTGAAGACACCTAATTATAGTGCCCTAGAGGCATGTAATCATAAAAGTATCAAATAATCTGATAAGTGTTGCTGGATAGTTTGATAAACAAAACTGTACTTACATTATTATATAAACCTTGGAAAAACCCTACATATTTACTTATTATTCAAGTTCCATATTTGTTCGCGAGCTCAATTTTAATTGTTTGGGCCGTACTTGGTCTAGTTCTGTTTAATTAGTTTGTTTGTTAGACATATGTGACCTGAATATGCATTATTTTGCTACTATATTTCCGTAATTTTAAAGCATTCACGGAAATATATTTACAGAAGAACAGCCTATTGAGTTTTGTCTTAATTCAAATTCCTAAAGCAAAAGCACTCTATTTTTAACGTAGTTCTCTATTTAAAATTTAATTAATTTACATTACAGAAACTTCACCAGCTATTTAATCGATTTTGATGTAGATAATAATAAAATTTAATTTTGCTCAAATGAAATCTAAAACTTCGTATTCCATTATTCGACCTGCGTTCAGTGTTGTAATGCTCAAGCGAAAACTTCCAGTGGTAGAAATTTCTGTGTCGCATCGTCTCATTTATTCCCAAGCGAAATAATAAAGTTTTATTTTTATTTATCTTCAGTATCTTTTAGTTCACAAGAGACTTGTCAAATACAAAAAGTAATAAATGACGGTAAAATAATCAAAAACAGTAAGAAACGATACGGTTTTTGTTTTTATGGAGGATGTATGCTTACAGAGGATGTTCAAGAAATTGAATTTCTAAAACATTTTTTACCCCACAAACGTTGGCATTATGTGAACTGAGTTTAGTCTTGTGTAGATAATGCCAATGTGGTTAGCGAAACGCGTGGATAATTTTTTATGTTTTTCGGTATGTGCGTATTGTACGAGCGATTAAAGATTAAAAAAAATGATATGAATTGTTCTCAGTTTTCTCATAAACGGTCCGCTTAATTTTTGTAAAATTCTGACTAGACAGTCATTTTATGCTTTATGTTACACTGTTTATACCAACATTAATATTATTAGACGTTATTTCAAAAAAATCCATGAATCTTTATCGAATAATGCTTCCCTCGATAAAAAATATTTTATTACTTATTTCAGTAATGTTAATGTTCGTTTTTAATTTTTATTTACCAACCTCAAGCTATAGAAATTATGTTGTCCATAATTTGTAGACATATAGTATTTTGTAACATTATAAAATGTATGAGCCTAATTCTTTTTCTAAAATTCTGGCATCCAGTAACATTATGATTACAAAACTGATATACTGATCTTTACCAAAATGTTATCGTTTAAAAAAAAAAGTTCAATAAATATTTTTCGAGAAACTTGTTATTTTCTAAATAAAGTATTAGTTTAAAAATGTATAGGTTATATTATGATTATGTCATGTCCATTGTGTAAACTGTTACAATTTGGATCATACACATATCGAGTTCAAGTTGCTACTGTTCTTGAAAACAGATCTTCAACATATCGTTTGCAGTGCCAACCGTTAATTACATTTTTTTAGAAGATCTGCAAATACATATTCTCTTAAAATTAAATAAATTTATACATGAACTGAAATTGGTTTATTAAATCCTCAAAATTTTTGGCACTTAAATTCTTGTGGCCAGCGTATAAAAAAAGACAGTATATTGCTTGTTCTAAATTTTGACCCCACTAATGTTTTTGGTTCTAATTTCTATAGTTAAAAATGTTAGATTTTTGAAATGTCGTCTTTGTTAAAATTGGTATTAAATGCGATATTTAGCTTAATCTGTTTTGTGGTTAATTTTTATTTTCTGTGGAAATCTCTTACGAATTGTTACGTTGTCTTTCCTGCAAAGAAAAATAACTACAAGAAAATGAGACGAGATTTATGTAAATTACAATAATTTCTTGACGCAGCGAAACTTTTCGTCGTTTTTATATGAGTAATAATATGACAAAAAAAAGAACTAGAAATTCAAAGTTAAATAATTTAGGAACACAAGTTAAAACTGAGTACCAAAGGGAAATAAGTAAAAGTGGGGTAATAAAAAGTATTAACTCGATATAAATAAGACGAAGAACTGAAAACTAGTGCGTGGAAAAGAGAAAGTTTGTTGTGAAAACTCGGCGAACAGGAACTTGGAAAAAGTTTAAACAGAAAAAAAGTCGAACGTGTTCACAAATTTTGCAAAACACTTTTATCAATAAAAAATCATTCTCTTTGATCTCATCTCTCCTTATTTACTCCAATGAAATAGCTATTTTTTATGTGTTTACCTTTATTAATAGTTAATCCACATCGGACTTGTCACACGTATAAAATAATAAATACCTAAAACTAACATACATTAAATTAATCACGAGAGGTTCAGTCGGGTAAGATGCCATGACGGGGATGAAACCAAATTTAATGAAAAATCACAAAGCGAACAAACTACTTCTTCCCTAGCGGCCCCCAGCCGTAAGAAACAAATAGCTGCGGAATGACGGAGTGCGGTGTCCTACTCAGACTTTTCTGTCGCATCGAGGTTCTCACTTGGGGTAAACTTTTCCGCTGGCTTTTGGAGGCGGTCTGCGGCCGGATGTTCGTCTCTACGGTCGCTGGGGCTTTCGATGAAGAAAACGTCGGATTCATGTACAAGACGCTAAAAGGCATGCCACCGGCACCCCATCCGCGCGATATAAAGATGTCCTTCTTCGTTTCACGGTTCGAGAACCTCTTCATTTCGCTGTGCTTTTGCAAATGTATTTGGTTGCGAGTGTCGCTGATTTCTTGGTAGGGGGCACAGACACACCATTGACACAGGGTGACTATGAGGATGACGTCCAAAATCACGGCTGAATTATGCATTGCCTGAAAATAATTTCGTGTCAAAACAAATTTCACAATTATTAGAATGTCTTACTTTCGAAAGTTGAAAGTAAAAGGCGGAAATTGATTGGGGGTTGGATGCGTGTATTCTCGTGTACGAGACGCTAGTAAGTAAGCTACTTGTTCTCGCAACATTTATATCTTTAAAAAATAATGTATAAACGGTCACGCTAGATGGCAATCTGTTTGTGGACCATACACGTGAATTCAGAGTGAAAAATAATTCTTTATTAACGGACGGACGCTCCTTATCGCAATATTATTATTTTTAGTGATAGAGTTCTAAAATAGAATACGATTCTTGCATTTTTTGGAAGAGTGGGGCGAAATATGTTATGGTTTGTACGTTGCCAGACGTTTTCCTTGTTACTTGTTTATCACTCATTAACACTGATATTTGAGTTGTTTGAAAATATTTTCCTTTAATTGATTTGGCGCAGAAAAATAGATTGCTTTCAGAAAGTAAATAAGCTGTGACGCAAGATTTTTTCTTGACTGCATGGTATCACCACATCAGAAAGCTTATAATATGTAGGTATTCGGATGTCATTGATTACCTTTTATTATTTATTATGTGAATAAAAAAAAAGGTTACGATTTGTGTATACCTTTGATGTACTGACTAATTAGAAGTCAAATATATCTGCCACTAGTATTTTTATTTCCTGAGCGTAAGCTAAGAAAGTATAGTAATCGAGTCGAACGGGTGACTTGCCACTTTCATATTTTCTAAACGTTTCATGACCGCTACAATGCGAAAAAAGTGATCTCCTTACGTACACATCTTTATTTTGACTTATAAAAGATTATCATAAAAAAATAAAATTTGCAAAATCAAATCTTATAATTTTTCGAAAAAGCTCGATTTGTTCTACTGTACTTCAGGAGAGAAGTTCTGTCGGAATAACCTTCGACCAATTTTTTTTGTCTTTGAAATGGGTTTAATAAGAAAATAGATGCAAGCTATGTCTTATGAAGAATATCTAGATGTAATATCTAATATGGTAAAACAGTTGTGCAAATTTCCTTTGTTATAATTAGGGATGTATCGACTAGTGGCCGACCGGTCGGATAAGCCGACTATTCGGCCATTTTTCATCGTCGGCTACAGTCGGCGACTAGTCGGCTAAACAGCCGACCGGTCGGCTTTTTTTATTAGAATTAAAATAGTATATAAAACAATTAAACCAGGTTTACAGAACCTCAATTGAATATTTAATTGCGATTTAATTTTTAACCCCGCCTTAAAGTACCATGTGACCGACTCTACGCCAATCAGACGTCGCTAATGGCCTTGTTAAATGCGCGATCAACTTAATCGCAGTTAAAATATTGTATAAACTGGCCCTAAATTGTGTTATTCTCTATTTTTGTACTGAGTTACTAAAAAAAATTAAATGTTAAAATTATCGAAACAAATTTAATACATTTTTTGGAAAACAAAGGAACTTTAGTTATTCCTGTTATTAAAATTGTATGAACAACAGTTCCCACAAAATCAGGTGTTCAACCTGAGCGCATTCATAATAATTGTATAAATGTAAATACTTCCGATCTTTCGGCTACCTGCCCTACGCTCCTACATACTTTCTCTTTTCCCTTCTAGAATTTTCTAAACTCCTTCTTTACCTACTTCCACCTCTTCGAAACCGAGCTTACCTGTGTACCATTTTAAACACCCTTCCCTCTTCTCCCTGGCACTCTCAAACAGTAAAGAACGAAATAAAATCTGAAAACCGTACCGTCGCTTTTAAATCACCAACAATACCCACAAAATAAAACAAATTTTTAAGGTAGTCAGAGAAATAGAAAAAAAAAACATACTGTCTGTCGCATTTATAAACCGGTTTTAGCAAAGCCGAACAGTCGGCCGACTAGTCGGCTTTTACTGGCCGAACAATCGGCTAGTCGGCCAGACCTACAGTCGGTACATCTCTAGTTATAATTATTTGATGATAATAGTAAACTGAGCCAATTCTTTCATTTTCTTGTTTTTAAAATTACTTTACCAAAAAAAAGACGTATACAGTAAGAGAAGCATCTAGAGAGTTTTATACGTGGCCTCCTCCGTACGTTTTGTTGCTATAAGAGTTTAAAGGCGGTACTGAAAGCAAAGCGTTTCTATTGCACTTTTTCAAGAAATAAGCGACGTTCGCAATGATACAGTTTTGACCGTCTCTTAACTTTTGCTCAGACCCCAGTAGAAAGTATAGTCTGTCAGATACTACAAGGTTATATGGCTGTTGTAAAATTAGGGTATTGTGAAAACGACAATGGAACAGTTAATAACACAAACCCACAGTTGTAAATTGTGTTTGTGTTGGTTTAATGTACCAAAATTGTTTAAGCGGATTACCCAACAGTAGGCAAGATATTGAGACAAATTCTTGGATTGAACCGATAACCAGCCGCACAAAAGGAATTATAAGATCCCATTCTTAAGTTTAGTGGGACCATATAACCTTGTAGTATCTGACAGACTATACGTATAGTTCAGGGTAGGTAAATTGAAATTACATTGTAAATACTGCCACGCAGTTTTTGCTCAATAAAACGTTAAAGTATGTACCTACTTTCCTTCCATATCACTAAAATCGGTTTATATCAGCTGTATTCCCGACTCAAATATGTTTAAACTACTGAATATTTTCCACAGAAACTAACATTTTAAGAAGAGCTAAATCGCTGTAGCAATGATGTGTTGTTTGTAGTTAGAATACCAAAGTTTTCAACATGGTGATTTAAAGCATGACTTTAGACTTTGATTTCGAGGATTATTTTAATAAATACATTGGTGATATTAAAAACTTGAAAAAGACGTCGTAGAAAAGGTGACATTTCTTGAGGGAATTTCTTACACTAGAATACAAACCAATTTTCAACATTTCCTTGAGCGCCTTGAGCGGAGAGAAAATTGGCAAACTTTTTTTTAAATAATGATCACAGTTGGAGAATGATCAAGTTTGTTATACGTGTATATTGCCCTTAAAAGTTTTAGAAGCTAGAATAACTAATTTGATTCGCTGTGAAAAAATCAACGAAGTTTTGTTTAACGCTGAGTTAGACTAGTTTTATCAATATTTTCTCAAATTAAATGCAGTATTTATAAGCGAATTACAGATTAATTCGTTTATTCAAAGTGTGTTTATATTTTATAATTCATAACTAGATCTTTTTATTGGATTTTGGACGATGGAATAAAAACAGTGAAATTTTCCTAGAGGATATTAAGATTATGGTTTTATCACGGTTCAATGTGACCTGTATTTTTAGTTCTTTGGTTATACCTTATGAGTAGCAAATTTAAATTCTATCGTTGTTTAACAATAAATTTTACAATTTTATCAGGGTAAAAATAAAAAGTTGAAAAAACATTAAAACTGATGTATTTAAATACATTTTAAATTGTACAGTTCTGTACAATGTAGTAGCGTACGTTTGTAAACATTGTAAGCGGAACATAAAATGTTTACTAGAACAATATTTTAATTACTTTAAATAATAATGATTTTTAGAAACAAATTTATATAAATGTATTGTTGTAAAATATTGTTAATGTGCGAAATTGCCCTACAAAGTTTTTCAAAACATTTTGTGTGGTTTCAAAAATATTTTGAAAAAGCAGTAACATTATATTTAGTAGCAAGATACAAAGAAATGTGGCAGACAAAGTTTATTACTTTGAAAAATTCTAGTAATGCAGTATTTAACATAGTAGTTCAGTATCATACGTGAAGTTTGTTGATTAATAAATAATTCTATAAAATTTGAAATCCCAAAAAATATAATGCGAGATTGTAAAAAGTGATGGATAGAGTTCATTTTTGTTAGAATTTTGTAACCAACCGCAGTTTGTTTAAAAATGTCTAATGGTTTTTATGTATGAAAAATTAGCAGATGTACTGTTTAACTTATTTTTCTTAATTCTGAACAAATCTCTTAATTTTCGCTATTGTTTCAAATTCCGCCAACAAGAACAAACACTGTTTATTAAGTATTAAATTCAGCTGACATTTCATGACCCTCCCCATTTCCCTCGGAATATGACCGAACTGAGTTCTGGTGTTAAAAACTAAAAAACTTTTGGAAGAAATTACTAGGTAAGCTCAACAAAAGAAGTTTATGCATGTATCCCGACTGTGTCCAGTTCAACCCTGTTCATAAATTTGAAGACATCTTTATAAATTTTTCCTTCAAACTGTAGTAATTATTTAACATTGTCGCCAGAACTTGCGTATAATGATCAAAAGTTTTAATTGCCCGATTTTATTTTGTTTGGAACTGTTTTTAATGGAGTTTGCCGTTGTAGAAAATATTAACAAGCTTAAACTTCCGCTTAAAAAGTAGGACACATGTATTGTACGTACTAGCACTGAGAGGCAGAAATTTCACCGGATTTTGTATAATTTTTAAATATATTGATCTGTTCGGATTAATTTTGAAGTACGATACTCTTAAGTTTAAATTTGGCAAATGTAAACAAAAAGTAATATCTCATTTTGCCGTTAAAAAAGCTACGCTATGTTGACAGAGATACAGTGTTTGTATTATACAGTAGCCAAATAGAAAGGGAGGCATTATAAAGAGCTTTTTCAGAACTCTTTAAATTGGGAATCTTGTTAATTTATGGTAATAATACGGTACCTGTGACAGAAAACGGCAGTAAAAATGGCAGAGCTTTCTTCTCTTATGAATTATTTGAACGCTTTTTATTTAAAATACATATTTCGTATTTTGCTGCATATTTAACGTACATCAAAATGGCTTTAGTTTTAATGTATTAAATTAGATTTGTTTAGAACTTGTAATTTCTGACTAGGTTTAACAAGCCAAAGAAAACAATTTTTTGTATTAAAAACGAGTAGAATAATATCACACGTCAAAGTTCAAACTAACTTTTGAAACTCATTGTCCAGAATTTTATGTTGTTGGTGTGCTAAAAATACTTTGAGAAAAATATTTGTTATGATAAATGTTTTACGTAATAGGTAGATATTAACCAACAATATTTTATTACCAATTGATAAAAAACATTTTTTATGACACTTCACTACTTACATTAAGTTTGTATCTCCTTTTATTACTTATTAAAGCGAGGTCATTGTAGCATTAATCAATTTTTAAAATAGTGCAGGTCAGACAAAATTATTGCTGAATTTCGTAGAAATTAAAGATTTGCTCTGACGCCTACAACTGAGCA